GTATGGGAATTATTAACAATTATTAAAAGTCAGCTCATATGCAAGGCTAATGAGTGGTGCTGTGTGGTATTATAAGATTTTTTTTCTATATCATAGAAGTGTGTGTTTCAAATGCACACATTTTGGAGAGAAAATCTCCATGTCATACCACTAGAACTGCTTTAGACTTCAGAAAGTCATTGATAAGTCACTTGATTGAAGGAAAGTCCTTTAGAAGGGACACTCAAATGCGGCCACCACCCAATTATGAAATTAGATTTAATCAAGAACACTTTCACCACCTGGTAAGCAACGACAAAAGATCTACTCGCAAGGTTCACTTACAGCATGTAGGTACCTTTTATAGCTGTGCAGTGTGTGGAGTATGCATGTACCTGGAGCCCTGTTTCCTCAGGTATCACACATTGAGAGACTTCTATTTCAATGGTGAAGATCATGAAGGCCCCAGATGTCTGAAAGAAGGAAGAGGGAGGCCTCGCACCAGAGGAAGAAGAAGAGTTCTCCAAAATTGAACATGCATAGACAAATTTGATAATTGAAAAGAAATAATAAAGGCAAGGTGATATATGAGACAATAAAAATGACTTACTCTAAGACTTTCTCAAGATTAGATTTTGTTACTAATAAGATAATTCATGCCCCTACAATAATCTTAATGGGTCAAATTTGTGTGCAGAGAAGTGTTTTTAACCCTTAAAGTGATATTTTCAATGTGTGAAGGTCATGATTTTTTGAGAAAAAGCAATAGTTCTGAAATTTATTTGTTACAGGATTCTTTCAATTAGTCCTTCTTGAAACTTCCAATAATTATGCTAATTATGCATGCCGTGACGTCATCATATGATGTGTATCCCATAATAAGTTAAACATATTGATAGAAAATTTTCCACTGGTTATGAACATATATGGTCATATGGGGCTTTATTAAAAAGAAATTGATCTACAACTGATTTTGTAAACATCACTCGGGTTTCTCCAAAAAAAATAACATACCCGTGGTACGTTAAGGGTTAATAACATTAAATTACTCCAAAACGATTCAGAGACTGGTTCTATCTTTTCGCAACACCCACTAAATTCATTCAAACGTGACAAAGACATAGGCAACTTTTTGGTCAGAAGATGCTAATCGGAAACTTCGACAAATCCCTCAGGTGTTCTGAAGCTGTTGCGCCATTGTTAAAAAATGACCATATAGGGTCAATTTTCGCTTGTCTAACAAGTCTATTGTTATCAATGTTGAGCCACTTTCTTGATGCGTAGTGGGCAGAAACCACTGACAAGAACCTGTTGAGAAGAGTTGTGCAAGAATTATTAATTTTGCTTGCATTCCTTTATTTGGCAGAAACCACCGACAAGAACCTCTTGGGAAGAAATGTGCAAGCTATGGTCACTTGCAGTTATTCAGCTTCTGCATCTAGACCACCTAAAACTGCTTGTCTGATTTTCAAGATCTCAGAACAAATCACTTGTGAGTTGTAGTTTCCTTTAAATTTTAAGAATTCATAACTTTTAACCTGTGAGGTAAAGTAGTTCAGGAACCGTCTCTTAAAATTTAGAATTCTTAGTTTGGGGTCAGTGATAATTCTAAGGGGTGTTATTCCAGCGTTACAATATTTAAAACCCTTTAATACCCAAGAGATGCCATTACATGCCTAATATTTATTCATCTTTTCTGAAATTTTCACAACCAACCAAAAGGTCATTAAAAGATTTTTTGCTGAAGTGCTTTAGTCTCTAATACAGAATCTGAAAGTGAAATGTTCAGTGAAATCCGGCGGAATTGTGGCTCATAAAAACGCAAGTTTTTTTTCACACGACAAGTAGAAAACATTGTTCAAGCGTGTGTTTTATAAATGAAAGACAGCCGAATTTACCGCAACATGAAGATTGCTCGGGCTGACAGCGCCGTAAAACTCGGTTGCAGTGACCGATATGGCCTTCCACTCAACGCATCGGAGTTCTTCTCTCAAGAGGCGACTGATATAATTTCTGAGGCTGAGACTTCGATGACCGGAGATCGCCTTGATAAGCTAGCTGCGTTATATGTCAGCATGATAATCGAGGTCAGTCTGACACCGTCATGACTAATATGAATTTTAACAGTTATGCCAGTTTAGCAATATTTTTATATGCTACACGAATGTTAGCTGTGTTTGATTTTCATTACCGTACGTAAGCTTGCAATCTAACTGAGTGTGAAACCTTCAAAACTCGGACTATTCATTTCGTTTTCTCTATAAGGATTTCCGTCTCAGCTCAAGTTATAATAACGTCAATGACAGCGCCTAGCATGTTTACAAAACTTTGTTTGGTTCTTCTGTTACTATTTGCTGACTCGCCTCTTCCGAAATGTCACTTTCAATCACAGAAAAAAACAAAAAAAAAAAACCAGAAAGTCCTGGAAAAGGTCGGACACAGTACAATTTGGCAGATGGCGTAACAGCTTCAGCTCAGTTCTATGGGAGTATAGAGCATAGAGCACGCTCTTTCAGCTAATGACAGCACATGTTATATCCGAACTTTATTATAAAAAATAGTGTTAATAGCACAGAATGATTTTTCAAAATAACTCAATGTTAACTAATTTTCAAGATTTTTTAAGGAGGAAATTGAGGAAAGAATTTGTATAATGTTAGTAAATCGTCTATAGATGGTAACGACTTTTAAGGGAACGACGAAGCAAAGTAAAGTGTTATAAATCCTCTAGGGATCCTATTATTTATCAAAACTATGACTAGTCGAGAGCATACAGTGAAAAAGCAATATGGGTGAGGTTGAGTATTTGATATCATGAAAAATCAATGCTTAGGTCTGAGTTATCCTTAAAGGAGGCAAGAAGAGAACTGTGGGGAGGGTAAGAACGTAAAAATACTTGTGAGGGGAGGGGGGGGGGTTAAGGATCCCTTTCATTGCGCATGTTCGTCTCCCGCTCCCCGCACCTTTGAAAACTTGCTTTTCAGCGCGAAAGTGTATTTCTTGCAGCTCAACAGGAAGCCAACAATTTCGCTTGTATCGAAAAGGAATGTATTTACTCAGAGGATTACACACTTTCGCCAAAGAAAATCATAGTGGAGGTTAATTGCTTATAACTGACATTGAAGAAATGTAGAATGGTTTCCGTGTTTACATAGCCTGATGTAAACACGCGGGAGGTTGGGAGAACACGAGATAAGCGTAGGAAACCACGACGCGAAGCGGAGTGGTTTTTCAGCTTATCGAGTGTTCTCCCGACCTCCCAAGTGTTTACATCAGGCTATGTAAACACGGAAACCATTTTACATTTCTTTTATAAAATAACTAATGAAAGAGGAACGAAAACCGTGTTTACATACGCTCATGTAAAATGGTTTTATGGCCAATCAGTGCGCGCGTACTATTTGAATTATTTTATAAATACAGTTGTGATTGGGTAGTTTACGTATCATAAATGTCCAGTCTAACAGTCTTATACGCGAAACAGTCTTATACGCGAAACAGTGCTTACTGACAATATTTCAATCAATCATACCTTTATTAAAATTTATTTTTTAAACTGCCATCATTCACAGCGAACCCTTTTATAAAAAAATAAATTTTTCAGAAAAATTATCATTAAAATCAACTTTGATTATAGTGGCATTCGGTGTTAGTCAATGAAAGCTCTGCACCTTGCGATTTTTGCCGAGTGCCGTGACCCAATCCGGTCTTTTTAATAATTTGGCTTTCTTGTCAACTTTAACAGACAAACATTCGTTACGATAATTTGACGTAGACTACTCTTCAGAAATGAGCAGTGTGTTAGTAAGAGAATGTTCTCCTTCGCAGCCGTTGCTTGATCTCGTCTCGGTGGGAGAGAGATCGTTGCGTGACGAGACCTAATAAAGGCTGCGAGGGGAGACAAACAAACAAAGTTAGTCTGATAATTATTCCCAGACGTCAACACGGGACATGTGACTAAATTGAACGTCATGTTCGACGAAGAGGGGAGAGTAGATTACGGAAGTAATTAGGATATAACCTTTCAGTTTCTTTGGAGAGATTCACAATTGTCAGCAAACGTCGATGTAGTCAGGATCTCTTCATGGAAAAAAAGCCTACAGTGATTTTGGTTGAAGTGTGATCTGGTTGATAGCAGATTCAGTTGTTTCGTATTTCGCGCGTTGATCGACTTCAATCCACGCAACAAAAGATTATTTGCAGCCTGATGAAACCAAAGTGTTTTCTTTTCCTGGTTCTGCTGGGTTTTGGCAGATTAGGTCTCACCGTGTCTTCTTTTGATGAGTCAAACGTCAAGAGTTACCATGTGGAGAGGAGGCCGGATAGCAATCCAGACCTGTTTGTTGTAGAGTTGAAAAGTGGCAGTCAATGTGATATCTGCACTTCCTTGAAGGCCCATTTTCACAGAGACATTCCTTGTACTTGTACTTGTCCATCAGACAATTCTACATTTCTTCCGTCGTTGAGAAATTGCATAAGCCAAAGCCACTTGCCCGCAAATTTTACAGGTGATGTCAAAGTCAATATTCAATAGGCTAATATTAGGACTAGTAACTATATGGGAATTGCATGCTGTAAGTAAGAAACTAGTAATTAGCTGCATTATGGTAGTTTCAGCTATTTTTAGAAAGGTTTGATTTTTTTTTATTGTTTTTTCTGTCCTTAGATTGTCCAAATCAGAAATATGAAAAGATAGATGGTAAAGACCTCTTTAAATTCCCAGTAAACCTTCAAATCAACAAAAAGGAGAAAACAAGTGTCAGTTCAGTGCATTACAACTGCAGCCTCTATGGCTACTATTTGGACTACAGTGGTTTTAAAGTTAGATGGAAAAACATTACTGATGGAGTCTTCAATCTAACAAAGGAAAATAATCCCAACAAAAAATTTAGCATTCAGGTAACATAACTTGTCTTAATACAAGTCAGGGTTTCTTCTAAGTTGTGCATGACATCTTTCTGAATAGCTTTTAGTTATTGACAAGAGTCCCTTGCCTCCCAACTGATTGTGTAAATGGCTGGTGCCTGTATGTTGAATAGACATATTGAAGTCACATTAGTCCTCAATTCAGTTTTTTTTATTTGTGAATTCTCTCTCTTTTTTTTTTCAAGAGCTTGTTTGGTAACAAGACGGGCAAAATGTGCCAGTTTTGAAAAGAAATTATGAAATGAAAAAAGTGTAAATTAGGCTGTTTTACAGCAGTAAGGTTAAACACATCTTGATACTGCAATTTCTTCATGTTGGTGGTTGGTAACCCACTTTCTATACATCACAAAAAAACCCCTTTGTCATACAAATGCATATATACAAGTGCAAATGCACTTTCTATACATCATAAAAAAATTCCTTTGTCATAAAAATGCACATGTACTGTGAAGGTAAACTTAAAACATAGAAACAAGCAACTGTAAACAGGAGGACAATGTTGTTTGTTTGAAGCATTAAATTATGAATGCATGTAAACTGACCCTGCATTTGCATCCAGCATCATTCAGTGGTCAAGTCATTATTCAAGTTTGTTTTATTTAGAAATGAAACTGAATGATTTTGTGCTCACATATTACAAATTAGCGACAACTTAGAATTTCACCTCTTCAATTTTAATGTTCTTTCAGTGGGAAGACAAGGATGGAAAATTGTCTGGAATGATCATCTATCTTAAATTGACTTGTGTCGGACAAAACAAAAGCAAAGAAAAGTGCTATCTTCTTAAGGCATTAGGAAATGTAACTTGTAAGTCAAACTTAACTTTTTTTTAATTCAATATTTACATTTTTTTACCTCTGGATTGTTTCCTTGTCATGTATTCAGAAATTTTGCTGATTTTCAGGGTTCCCTAATAAGCCTGGTTCATATATTCCAGACTGGTTCTTGAAAGCACAGGGTTCTTGAAAGCACAGGGAATCTACAAGAAGGAACATACTGTTTACCAGCAGTCAATCAATTGCAGCAATGCAAACACACAACAGTATTGCATTGTTTTATGGCTCAGTCGATGATGTCAATTGGCCAGTATAAAGTGTTTCTAAAGCCGACATTTTGAATGGTGCTCTGATGAAGGACTGATATTTGAAACATCAGCTATTAAAACTCTTCATGGTGGCCATTTTACATCATCAACTCAATTGATAATCAAATTATCATGTAATACCCCCACCAATGCAACGTCACAGTTTTCTTTAATTAGAAACTAACCCCTTTATTCATGATAGTATTTAGACAAGCACACACTAATAAAAATAAATGCTCTTAGGGTATATTTTAGAAAAATAAAACATTTCCAGCTGTAAAGTTCAGCTCATTGCTTTATTTGTAATATTTAATGGCTAAAAAAGGTGAGAGAGTGAAATGAAATTTTTTTTTTTACTTATCTTTTCAGATTATGCCCCATCAACATCAAGCTCAGGATCTTTCATTACTGTTCCAACTGCAGTGAGTTCTCCCAATCCATCATCTATGTTTGCATTTTCACCATCACCACAATTATCTCAATCAATGCAAACATTCTCCCAGTCATTATCCCCACAACCAACCACTTCCCCATCACCCTCTCCTTCATTGGATGCAACCACAGGAAGTCCAACAAAACACACAGACAAATTTTCAACATTTGTATCAAAACATGTGGAAACAAGTTCACTTCAAACAAGGCCGGTCTTACATTCAGCTGGACCAATTCTGCCATCAACATCAACAGCAGAACTGGAAAGCTTCTTACCAGTCAGTTCAGAGGAAATTTCTAATCATGTGATAAACACAGGGATCCCAAAATCTTCAGCTAGCACAGAGGAACCAAATTATAGTGAACCATCAGAGGTAGGTCTTCTGTTGGGGAACAGTTTTTGGTTCTGTATTAAGTATTACTGTTAAGAGGGTGGTCTGTTGCCACAATATTATGTATGATACTATGAAACCATGATTATAATCATTATGATGCCTAGAAGTTAAATGTGCAACAATATTGATTAACATGACTCCTCACCCTGAAGAATATGTGTTTGGGAAATCTATAATTATTTGTGGAGTAAGAAGTAATGTACATTTAATTGTAAAGTCTTTTAAAGGACAAACTTGATAATTGTTTAAAATTTTGTTTTTAAATTACTTTCTCATGCTCCAAGTTACCAACCACTGAGTCAAGTCTTCCTACCAGGGATGGTCCAGGAGACAAAGAGGCAAGGAAAGGTGGAAAAGACAAAGGAGTAGCAATTGGTGCTGGAGTTGGTGGTGCTGTTGTTTTTGGGATTATTGTCATAGGGTTGATCATTGTATTTTGTAAGAGAAGAAGGCTAGGGTAAGCTACTTCAACAGAATTGATAAATGTTTTACAACAGCTTTAAACGAATGTTCCAAAAGAAATTACAGAGCTTGCAGATATCATTTGTTTTGACTTGTGTCATAAGTTACATTTTGTTGTGTGAGAGAGAATTTAAGTCAAATGTAAATGTTTATAATTTGGATAATACAGTCAACAAGAGAGAGCTTACTTAAAGCCTTGTGATCTTGTAATGATCATAGTTTTGAATTGTAATCTGGATTCGTTTCACAGGGAAAGTACAGAAAAGAAAGCAAAACTACATGTAGGAGGTAAGGTTTTGTATTAACCCCTTACACCTTAACATCAGTATGCATATTGAAGAGAATTTGTTCAACCCTTTAACTCCTATTAGTGACCAAGACAGAATTTCTCCTAACAATATCAATACAATATCAAGTAGACAAGAGATGAGAACAAAGAAAAATATTAATTTGGGGGATTATTAGTTGATCTAATACCAAATTCTCCAAACTAATATCACAAGAACTATATAGCAGACAGTAAGGAGAATCACTAATGAGATCTTGGGAGTTAAAGGTTAACAATCAAAAGTCTTCAGCTGGTGATCATTTCCTTCATTCTCCTGATCTTAATGTGTGATTCAAGGGTGATATTGTAAGGAGAAATTAGATGTTTGTCGTTCTTAGGGGTCAAAGGGTTAAGGGTAAAATTAACTTGTTGGAACGCTGGTACACTATTAGACCCTCCTTGTGTCTCAGGTGGATTGATCAAAATGTTTAGAAAGTGATCACTGCTGTCTTTTTACTCACATTTATTAGCCAAAAACTGCATTATGTGTCTATGAATCTAAAGACCAATTAGGGCTCAAGATGTATAATGTTATAATACTGTGCACCAAATTATTTTGACTATATACAATCATGTTGTAGCTACATTATTGAATGACTGTTCAGTATAGAATACAAAGTGAATCTCCTATCACAATTTAAGATCATAGTAAAAGCTAGTTTTGTTAATGAAGTAATAGTTGCAATTACTTTATTTAAAATTTTAATACTAGTTAAGAACCCAGTGTATGAGAAACCTCAAGATGACATTAAAATGGAAAGACCAAGAGAGAAAGCCACAACTTTCAGCAAACAAGACAGTCAACCAACATACTTGGAACTTGTTGACAACAAAGGTGAGTTGGTCAGTAATAATTTGTAGAATGGCAATGGATGGTGTAGAGGGATGGGTCAATATTGCATGAAATTATTATAGTATTTTATTGATTAATAATAGTTACATAAATGGTTCCACCCTGAATTGAATACCATGCTCTGATTGGCTATCCAAGTGGGTAAGTTGAGCCCATCTCACCTGTTTGGGAGTGCCTGCTTTGATTACATGCAAGAAAAAAAATTTGTGGAGTTGACTTACAAAGTGCTCATTAAGTTTTGGGAAATGTCATCAATGGAATTGCCAGAAAAAAAATACTTGGGCCAATATCCAGCCATCTTGATCTCATGCTTGCAGATTAGTAAGGCAGGTATTCCACAAATGGCAGGCTTTAAAATTAATATGAGGAAGAAATAGCTTGGGCATACAAAATCTAGCAGGAGAATTCCCTGATCTCCAATGACTGTTAAACACCCTGGAATCTATTCAGAATAATTCTCTTAACTTTTATTTATCATATTTTTCCATTTCTGCAGTAGGACATGAAAATTATGGAGCTGTATACAGTACTGCAGATGAAAATTATGACAATTCATCTGTTTACCAAAGTCTGGACAATAATACACCTGCAGCACCATCAGTTTACCAAAGTTTACAGAACAACCAGCCTTCCACCAAGAAACCAATACCAAAACAGAAACAAAGCAATGCAAAAAACCCTGGAAAACCCAGTGTACCCCCAGACCCTGTGTATAGTGTCCTTGAGGAGTCTCACATCAAACAAGGAAATACATCAGAGGCAATATATAATGTACTGGAAGGGCCAGATCCTGGACAAGATACTCCAGGGAACATTCAGGACCCTGTTTACAATGTGCTGGATGGGGCTGGTGCAGGACAGACAGATGAGGCCCCAGATGTTGGTGTTCAACAGGATCCACTGTATAATGTGCTTGAGGTGCCTGAATCCAAACAAGAACATCAGGAACCACTATATAATGTGCTTGAAAATGCAGATACTGAAAATGCCCCTTCCAGACAGCATGGCTCCTCCGATGGTGCAACCAGTGAGCCCCTTTATAATGTTCTTGATGGGGCAGATTCAAGTGGTGCAGAATATGCTGCTCCCAACAGACCCCTGTCTGCTGATAGTCATGACAACCCAGCCTATGAGCAGACCCTTGAATTTGGTGCACCACATGCATTGGTGGACAGCCCTGGGTCTCAGAGAGAATCTTTGTATGAGCCCCTGAAAGGGTCTGATAGGCAAGATGTGTATGAGCCCCTTCACAAAAAGGGGAAATGAATGATACCAAGGCCGTGGACCTTGAATTGAAAACAAAGTTAACAGAAGTTGGTTGCTACTTAGGGGCCTAGGAGCTCTCCATGGAAATTAAGGCCAATATTGACTCTCAATTGTCATTATGTTAGCCACTAAATCAACAGAGGCAATAGGAGTGTAGGAATAAAACTCAATTCTCTACACTACTTTGTAATTAAAATTTATATCTCTTTCTGACAGTGCAATTGCATGATATGTAGTGTCACAGGGCAAGTTACAAGTGAAATATTTTATAAAGTATTTTAAAATGTGTATTTTTGTAACAAAGGATGTAGACATTTGCTGCCAAGCAGAATTCAAGAACACTATTTTTGTACTGAAACTTTTTGAATGGCTACAATTCTGTAGGTTATGAAGCAAAAAATAATTTTGCTCCTAATTGTTTTAGTACTTATCAATGGTTATCACCCAAATCGAAATAATTTTGCCCTGTAAAATACAGTATTCATACCTCAGAAGAATTTATGAATAGTTTTTGTTATTGTAAGAATTTGTTTAAAAAAATAAATACCCCAAGTTAACTTGAAAAAAATGGAATTGAGATCTAGAGTTTTTCTTTTTTTACCAAATTGCAAAAAAAAAAGGGAAGTTAATTCTTTAACTCCTGTGAGTGACCAAGACAATCTCTCCTTACTATATCTATACAATATCATACAGGCAAGTGACGAGAAAAAAGAAAAATATCAATGGGATTACTAAATGATCCCATACCAAGTTCTCCAAACTAACATAAGGAGAATCGTTTGGCAGACAGTAAGGAGAATTTATAATGAGATCTTGGGAGTCAAAGGGTCAAGAGTCCAACATTGAAGAAACAGAATAGTGAGGGAAACAGGTGACAAAAAGAAAAATCAGGAGTGAGAATTATGTTTCATATGATGTAATAAATGATAGAGAAATGCAAAACAATGCACGTTATTTTGTACATATTTGATCAGCACTGATGACATAACAGGAATGGGCAAGACAGAATGTGGAACTGAGACCAT